AGCAGGGTGGTGACAGGCTCTACTCTCCACTGTGAAGGATGTCCTTTGTTATGGATGGAGAAGGCATGAAGGCAAAGCTAGATAGATCTGAGAAGCATGTGCGTGGTCACGGTGTGTGACTGGAGGAGGGAACTGGGTGGCCTACGCCAGGCTGGGGTTAAAGACACAGGCAAATTAACAGAAGTGAGATTCGAAATAGTTTTGAGGTGCTTGGGAATTGAACCTGGGGCCCCCTGCATGTGTGGTGAGTGCTCTACCACTCTGTGGTATTCTCAGCTCCAAAGTTGAAAATAAGGGAGAAGCTGGGCGGTGGTGGCAGCACACACCTTTAATCCCAGCACTTGGGAGGCAGAGCCAGTTGGATCTCTGTGAGTTCAAGGCCAGCCTGGGCTACAGAGTGAGTTCCAGGACAGGCACCAAAACTATACAGAGAAATCCAAAAAAACCAAAAAAAAAAAAAAAAAAAAAAAAAAAAAAAAAAAAAAAAAAAGGCAGAAAATATAGGATTTGCTGATAAATGTGTGTATATATAATTTAATGGAGCTATTTGTGGGGAAGAAAAGTTTACTGATTATAATACAAGGTGGCAGCAGACTGAGCAGTAACTATAATATTCCTTTAGCTCAAATTTTTAATAATAATATTAAAATTTAAATAATAATGTTCTTTGATTTTTCTTTTTCTTTCTTTATTTTCTTTCTTTCTTTGTTTTTTTTTTTTTTTTTTTGAGACAGGGTTTCTCTCTGTGGTTTTGGCACCTGTCCTGGATCTTGCTTTGTAGACCAGGCTGGCCTTGAACTCACAAATATCTGCCTGGCTCTGCTTCCCAAGGGCTGGGATTAAAGGCATGTACCACCACCACCCGGCTAATAATTTTCTTTGAAACAGGGTCTCTCTACATAGCCCTGGCTGTCCTGGAACTCACTATGTAGACCAGGCTGCTCTCAGTGATCTGTCACCTCTGCCTCTACTTCCAGAGTTCTGGGATTAAAGGGCATGCATCATCATGCCCTGCTGTTATTATTATTATTTTGAGACAAGGACTTATGATACAGCCCAAGCTGGGCTCAGACCTTCTGATCCTTCTGCTTTCCTGTGCCCAGTGCTGGGGTTTCAGCCATGGCTGCCATGCCCTGTTTATGCAGTGCTAGAGACAGGTACAGGCTTCCTGCCTGTGGGCAAGGACTCCACCACCTGAACTATATTCCTAGTCCTGCCTTTTTTTTTTTTTTTTTTTTTCTGAGACAGGATCTCATGTATTCAGTCTAGCCTTGAATGCCTTGATCTGCCTGCTTCCAAAAAGTTTTGGTTTGAGTGTGTGAATAGAAAATGGTTCTCTTGATTGAGACTGGTGGCCATGATTGGATTTCAATAATTTTTACTTTTCTCTATCTCTCTTCCCCTGTCCCATTGGGAAAACGTGTTGAGTGGAAAACCTTTTGAAAGGGGCTTCTTTGGGAACATTATATGTATAAGTCTTTAAGGCAGTTTCCACGAATATTTTGAGAGAAGGCAACCTTGGGAAACAGCAATATTAGAGGAACAAACAGTTGTGCCTGTAAAGGGGTTAACAAAGTTGCCAAAGGGACAGATGTTCTTAGAATCAAATGGTGTTCTTAACCCAATCAAGGTTGATTTAAGTCAATCAAGTCGGATTATATCTCAGCCTCTATTTAAATTGAGCTTTACTTAGCCCCTCCCTTTTTGGTTTGCTCGTAAAAACCAGCAATCACCTCTCCTCCTGTATTGTTCCGGGCCAGGTGGACTGGCAGGCTTCAGCTCCGCCTTCCCTCCTGAAAGGTAACTTCTGCCGTCTACTTTTCCTTAACTTACTGAGTGTTTTCAAAATGATGACTTCCATTGGGTGGAAATCCAGGAAGGGAAAAATGAAGTGCCCTCTCTTGGCTTTGTTATCTCTCCTTAATTTAGTGCTTTCAGTCTTGGGAAGAGGGCTGCCCCTGCCTCCCTCTCAGAGTCCTTTGTAGTTTGTAAATGCAGGTCCGGCTAACTTTTTCTGTTTCCTGCTGCCTGCAGTTTTTCTGGTTTTCCTGCCCTGTACACTGAGTTCTTTGGAGCGTGTGTTTCTGCTGTAGCTCCAGGGATTTCGTTTCCAAGTTGTTTCTCTGTAATCTGTTCCACAGTGAAATAAATACTTAGGAAAGATTATATTCCATCTGCACTTCTAATTAGGACTTAGTCTCAAAAAGATAATTCCTGTAGATAGTAAATACAGCAAACCATGCTTGCCCTTGTTTTTGTAAGATTTTCGTATACAGGCAGGATCTGGATAGAAAATCAGATGTTAGTTCAAGGAAGAGGCCTGCTAGCACTAAGATGAAATCAGAGATAATGGTGTGATTTTTATAAGCGCACATTGGGAAGTGTGTCTTGGGGCTGGGGGGTGGTGGCTGTTTTGGAACTGTGAAAAGGACGAGACATGGCTGAGGTTTGTCGGGTTCAGGAGGAGGTAGGATGGAGCCTGAGTTTGGGTACACGTGTAGATCCCAGCAGCAGGGACGGAAAAGCCGGGTCCCACTCTCGGTGGCTGTGTCCTTCAGCACCTGATTCCTTTAGAGGTAGCGCAGCCTGGGAAGTGAGTGATGGCGAAGCTGGGTTCCGCGTGGGCGGGGCCAAGGCCATGGAGACCAACGTTCGATTTTTCAGTTTCCACTTCGCCCAGGAGTGGGGAGTTCTTAGCTGCTTATTACGAAACCAAACGTCCCTCGGATTCTCCTGTGACTTTCTGACTTTTAATTGTGTCTGACGACCCACGCTTCCCATATCAACGCGAGGCACGAGCCTCCGCATTCTAAGGCAGGAATTCGATCCCTCCACGTCCCTTGGAAAACACGGTGTGTGTGTTTGCAAGCCCAGCCGTCACTGGCAGAATTTTGCAACGATTTCCCAGTTTTGTTGGCACATCTCCAGGAGGGAAGGTTCTTTGTAATTCTTTGCTCAGACATCAGGATCACATACAAATCTCTAGCAGATAGAGCAGGGAGGGCAATTCTCTTTCAATTTTAAAGGCTACAACATAGTAAGGTTTTTTTTTTTATTGTCCCTTTTATTTGTGGGGGTGGGAGGAGGGGGAGGAGAAACAGTAACAGACCATCTGATGCCAAAATGGCTTAGAGTGGTGGCTTTGTGAGGGCATGGAGGAAACCCCCCCCCCCCCCTTTTTCTTGCTTTGCTCTGAAAATAACTCAGTAGCTACAAGGTCTGAGAGACCGAGTCTCATTGTTCTTAGCCAAACGATTATTTGTCAAAATATTTGACTGTTTCCCTATTGCTGCGGAGAAGTTTGGACTTCTCTTTATGCTCCATCTCCACACCAAGATTTTTAACTCTAAGCACTATTGTGTTTACAGTATTCAAGGCTTCAGAGTGCAAAGGTTATCCATTAACATGTAGACTGAGGCTACACTTCGGTTTAGCCTCAACCTCCATCCTCTTTACTTGCTCAGAGTTTTCTTTGTTTGTGTCAAAGCTTGCTTCCCCCCCCCCCCCCCCCGTTTTTTGGGACAAAGTTAAATGAAGTCTACTGCTTCTGAATGTTTGAGCTGTTGCGTGTAGAGTGTGAATATTTATATGGCTTTAACCAATACTTTAAAGAAAGAATAATTTGTGGTGAGAGAAGGAACCGTAGTACTAAAAATGATCGATATCTTATGGACTTGAATGAGAATCAGGGCTGGCTTAAGGATCTCCTTCCAGCGCTGCTAATTAATTGTGAGTAAGTAATTGATTCACTTCCTTCTGAAAAAAGGACTAACGAGACCATATGTGGGTTGGTAGTTATGTAAAACGACAGCAAAAACATTCTACAAGGCAGATTCTTGCCCCTTGATAAGCTGGCTTCTTGAATTCTTCCTATTTATTAAGGACTGCCTTGCTTACCAGTTCCGGTCTTTTTTTTCCCCGCCCCCCCCCCCCCCCCCCCGTTCTTTTGATTTAGAAAATGGGTATCAATGCTTTATTGATGTTTTTCCACTTTTTGACACACGGAGGGCCAGCTTGAAAAAGAAACAAACAAGTTGGCCTTTCTGTGTGAAGCAATAGATCTATTCTATATTTGAATTCATTTGCATTTTGGAGCAGAAAAATTATTGGATGTGATTTATGGCCGCCATAGTTCCTCCCTGGGGCTTCCTTTAAACAGGGGGCATCTGTCCCAGGCCTTTGGAGTCATAACCTTTTCCTGTTTTCTTTCATCTTTTCTATAAGTCGGAACAAAACGGTAGGGAGACGTTTTAAGTGAGTTGGGCGTAAAGCGGTGGTGGGGGTGGGGGGGGCTGTGTTCTTTTTGTTTTGACCCCACTTTTAAGCCTAGTTTCACCCAAGTGAATTTCTATGCAAACTCAGTAGATTTGTGGTACCAAATCCAAATTCAGACGTCAAATTTTAATAGAAACGCAAGCCCAGGGTCTTAAGGAAAAAGACAATTAGCTTTATGAAGATTCTAATTTGGAGAAATTTAATCCTCTTATCTCACATTGAATCTCTGGAAAGTGTTTTCCTTTTCCTGAACACCGCTATCCTGTAAGCTCCCCAAAACCAGTGGCAAGTTTTTTTTTTTTTTTTTTTTTGTTCCTGATTCTGGGCGACCCGGGAGTTGGGCAACCGGCTCCTCCCCTCCCCTCCCCCTCCCCTCCCGGGCGCACCTTGCGAGGGAGGGGGGGGAGGCAGCGAGGGAGGATTGGCTGTGCGCCTGCGCCGCTGTGCTCGCAGCCCCCCCCCCTCCAGAATACCTGTCACTGGAACCGCCCGGGCGCGAGCGCGCCACGTTAGGCCGGATGGCGGGAGGTGGAGCGGGGCGCGCGTGCGCGGGAGCCCGTGGGGCGGCCGCGGGGTGCGCGCGCCGCTCTGCGGGGCTCGCGCCTCGGGGGGCCCGTGGGGGGCGTGGCCGGCACCGGTGGGCGGGGCAGGGGTGCGCTTGCGCACACGCGCGGGCGCTGAGGGGGCGTGACAGGCGCGGCTGGGGGCGGGGCGTCGGGCGGCGCGGCCGGGGGGGAGGGCGCAACAGCTGCTGCGAGCACTTTCTGCCCCAACAGTCCCCCCGCCGGACGCCGGCCGCCCGCGCAGGGACCCCGCGCCTGCACTGTCCCCGCGCGGACGAGTAGGGGGCGCCCGCGCCGCTCCCTCGCCCCGCGCCGGAGGTGAGCCCGGCCCCCCGGAGCCGCTGTGTGGGTGGGGGGTCCCGGCGCCCGCGGCCGTGGGAGGCGAGCATGGCGCGGCCCCGTCCGGGGCCCCGCGCCGTCGGGGCCCCGCGGCGGACGCACAAAGGCCGCGCCGCCCTTGCCGCTCGTTCAGCCCGCGGCTGGGGCGGTGCAGCCGGACGGCCGCAGGTAAAGGGGCGCCGGGGCCGCATCCCCACGGCCGGGGCCGCGCGTGGGGCTGGGAGGGACGGCCGAGAGACAATGGCCCGCCCGGCGCGGCGTGGCCGTCGGGGGTCCGCGCCCCCTCCGGGACCTGCCTCCCGCAAGTGAGGGAAGGTGTTCGGTTTCACGCCCAAACTTAGAACGCCCCGCAAACTCCCGTGGGAAGTTCGTGCGGGGCGGCGGGAGGCGGAACCGCACGCTGGAGGGCGCGGCCCCGAGCGCCTCAGTTTAGCCCCGACGCGAGCGGGCGCACGGGGAAGGGCGCCCCCGCCGCGGACCCTCGGAGCACGGGAAGCGCATTCTTGGGCGGGGAGAGTGGGGGTGGGGACAGCAGGCGGGGATTTTTCCCAAAAGGTTTGCTTCCTGAAGTGAGCCGACGCCTTGGGGGCCCCCATCTGGGACCCCCAGTGGGTGCCGGTCCGCATTCGGGCAGTAAAAACTTTTTAACTTTTTATTGTTTGGTTGTGTGTGGGGGGGGTTCTCCCCAGACAGAAGGTTTGTGTCCTTGAGCCTTAGTTTCTCTTTCTGAGAAACAGGCATTCCTGAGCACGCGTTAGATTAAGGGGAGCCAGCCTGGGGTCCCTGGTTGTGGGGTACCATGTGTGTACCACAGGATCCCGTGGCCGGTTTCCTGGTTTGAGGATGGGTTGGAGCCATTAAGCTGTATGTTTTAAGAGGCCTAGGTCTGATTTAGTTCAGGTTGATTCAATTATGTCTTCATCGCTTTTGAGTTGGTTGAATAACTTGACATGAGATTAAGGCCAACAAAAGAAGAGGCAGGGTAGCCACAGCTGCTTGCCAGGCCTGGAGACTAGGTAGGGGCCTCAGGGGGCCTTTCACCTCGCTTTGTAAGTGAAGGACGCCCAGAGCCGCCTTCTTGACTACTTTTCCCCCAAGTGGATCGACTGCCTTGATCGGTACCAAATCACATTTCAGACGCCTAATTTTTGCTTCAAGAAGGATGAACAACAGGTCTAGGCTCTCCCCCCCCCCCCCCCCCAAGTGCAGAGAACTAACCTAATTGCTGTCTGAAAAATAGAACCGTCAGACCACTAGTCTGTGCTTACTTAGTTAATGTACCGAGAACTTTTTAAGGTGTGTCCTTAATGATAGATGACTTTTTTTCTTCCCGAGAAATCCTATTTATTTTAGATACTGTTTTTCAGATTTTTGGGGTCCAGTGGTGAAGTTTTGCTTTTTGGTTATTTAGATTTTCATTGTGAATCCTGATCTTGTATTGGGAGTCACCCTCAAGGCCCCCCTACCCATCCTGCCACTTTCCCAGTTATGTAAGTATAAAATCCAAGAGACCTCTAAAGATTCTGCCCTCCTATGCATACAGAAGGAAGTGGAGGGGAGGATGCATTTCTTCAGTTTCCAGCTTTTAGTTCTTTACTTCTCAACCGCGTCTCCCACTTTGCAGTCTGATCTGTCTTTTTCAGTGTAATAATGCGTGAGATTGAAGTTTAGTAATTGTCTTGGCTTCGTATTATTCCCTTTCACTTCTTACTTTAAAAAAGGAACTAAGATACCACTTAGAAAAATTTTCCCCTTTATGCTGAAGAATCTATTTTAATAATAGCTCTCTTTCTTTTCCCCCAGGTGGTAGGGGAGGAAGAGGGGGAGAGAAAGTTCAGACTCTGGCTTTTGGGGGGGAGTTGTTTGCATTTGTTTTGTAATCCTCCATTTTTGGCAGAGGAACTTGGGGGTGACTAGGCGCCCCTAATCCTTTTCCAGTGGGCTTGTTTTAGAGGAAATTTGAAAATAAGACTTAATCATCAAGTCTCTTCCAAACTGATGAAATAATTAAGTCACACAATGGCCCTCGATGACTCAGTCTATCTCCTCCTGGCAGATAAGTGCTAATCACCTTTTCTCTCTCTTAACATCACTTTAGTATGAAGTGATGTTTTGCCACAGCAGGGCCGCCATCCTCCGTCTAGGAGCCCTCTTAATTCTGAACTGCCTGATTAGAGCCTCGGGGGTTCCAAAAGATGAGCTCCTTTTCCACTTTATTAAATGACATTCTTTTTTCTCAGTTGTTCTAAACATGATACTGGTTGATAAGAACTTTGAAGTAGTTTTAATGACCCTTGACTGCCTTAAAAACAACTTCATGAAGGCTCTGCTCTCTGACTGCTGTGAAAACATGACTGGGCCTTAAAGATACTGTGTAGGAAGCTGTTTCCAATCGCTCAGAAAACAGTTTGAGATTGTCCTATCTCATACTGTGTGGCTTCCATTGTGGATTTTTGAGGTCACTGGCTCTAATTTTTAAGTGGCTGGTTCCTGATTTCCCATTTCAGTTTAATCCCGTGGCAGTATGTGTAATTAATAATTTGGGAAGTTGGAGCTGAGTTATCAAGAAGTGGGTTTCCCAGCTTTCGAATTAAAAGGAACACCACGAGGCAGTTAGGGTAAACTGGTATTCTAGTGTCCAAATGTGCCATTTTAAGTTGAATGATCACAGCTGAGCATATGGAATAGTTTTTAATTCACCAGGGTTATTAAAAAATAAGAACCTCGAAGATGTGTGTGGAACAGCTACCAAAACTGAATTAAAGGATTCCAGTCCTATTAAATATTCTGAACCAGGAAGGGCTTAGCTACAAGGCATGTAAATTGAAGCAGTGACAGGAGGCGCCTCAGTTCACACACCTCAGCTCCAGGTTTTGCAGGGGGAGCGTGTTAACTAGTTTAAATGCACGTGGAAGAAAGTGGATTATTACACAAAGACTTGGGGAAGTGTCTTCCCTCTGCTCTGTGGGGAAGTGTGGTGGAATATCACTTGATGGCCGTGTTGTGGGGGCACTGTGAAAGTGCTGGAAAGCTGGCCTTTCAGTTAGGTGATCTGGATTAAGGTTCTTGGCCAGCCAGTAGTATAGACAGATTTGCAATGGTATGTGGGCCAAAGGGTTTTGAATTCAGACCACGAGGGCAGATAGCAATCTTGCCTTTAAGGAAGTTGTGTGTGTGTGTGTGTGTGTGTGTGTGTGTTTGTGTGTGTGTGTGTGTGTGTGTATAGGGAGTGGGGGCACATACCACCATTTTCTCCTAAAAGTCTTTATCTCCTCATGAGTGAGTTCAATTCCTGGACATGTCTAGCTTCCAAATAATCGGGGGAGCCCCTGTTAGCCAGCTGCTACCACAGATTTCCCTTTTATGTTGCACTCCCTAGAGAACTTTACATGTGAACGTTTGTTGACTGCAACCTCTGAAGAGCCATTGCTTCCTGCCCAGGCTAGCAACATTATTGAGTTACTGGAAATTTGGGGCCAGTTTGGTAATTTTATGCTAAAGTTGAGAAATATAATTACTAACCCTGAAAAGACAGCTGAGCAGAGGTAAGCAAGGGGATGAGTTGACCCCTGGCTTTTGTTCTTCAGCTTTTCCAATGATTATTATTATTTTTTTTACCTACACTACCCCCAAGTCAGCTGCCTTTTTAATGGGTGATTGTGATGATCTCTCAAGTTTAAGACAGTACTGAATGGTGAGGTGGCGTTTTACTTTACTTTTCTAATGTCTCTTAGAGCAGGATAATGTAAAACATTTAGTTATGTCAAAAGAAATGGTTTGTTTGACACTCTGCTTATGTGAATATTTAAAAAGGGCAAAATTCAGTGTTGGTGGCAGTTTTTATTTCCTAGTAGCTGCAGATTGAAACTCTGACATGTAAATCTCTCCAACAGTGGTTGGTCTTGTTCACTGAAAGGAAATTTTATTTTTATTTACTTTGAGATGCAAACAGGTAACTATGAAAGAGCTAGACACAATGTTAGCATTTATTCAGCTTTATGTATTATGTAGGAAGGGGGCGTTCTGTGAGGTTGAGGAAAGCTCCTGGATTTTAAGGGCATTGCCCGAGGTTGTGTTTTACCTGGTTAGTTAAATTGAGTCTTGATTTAGACCCTGCCCATTTAACCTTCTGAAAAAAAGGTGGCATAGTGTATAATTCCTGGTGCCACATAATGGGCGTACTGTTTGTTGATGTAGTATTGTGTTGTGTGTACACGGACGTGCTGTGCACAGGCACTGAGTCAGTGTAGCTGATGAACCCAGGTAAATGTGAGTTTGCTGCTGTAGTTTCCTGAAACCCATTCCTCTGTGCAGCTGGCCCCATCAGATCTCAAAGCAGATGTAAGGCTGCCCTAGATAGGCAGGGTTACTGCGAGAAAGTTGGAACAGCAGTGTCCCATCCTGCCTAATTGAAAATTAGCAAGGAAATAATTCCCCATGAGCTGCTTTGCAGATCACCATGGAGTGTTTGTAAGTCAGTTTACACATCTCAGTATCTTTTAGTATTGACAATATTGAAAGTAAAACTGGCCGCTCAGCACACCTGAACTGTTTGGGCTGAATCAGGCAGTGTCTAGTTAAAGGGCCAGGATCTAATTCCTGCTGACAGCCCTTGGGTCTGCTGCTGTTTGGAGTGAAGTGTGTTCTCAGGACTTTCCGAACTGGGATTGTTTTGCCCAGGAGTTTCTCACCTTGCCTTGCAGCAGTGTTTTGCCTGTGATAGTTGGATTATAATGTTGAATTTAAACTGAGAATTTACACTTAAATCAGTTTCTCTGAACTTTTAAGTGCTTTTTCACTCACCTGCTAGGGAAAAGTTGATCTGGTCACTGAAAGATCTAAAGTTACTTTGCTTCTTCCTATTCTCATGTGGTCTTCATTTATCATGGTCTCTTATTCCTTGTTCTCCCTCTCTGTTCTTGATCCAGCTGGGATCTCCCGCTCCCCTAAGCTCTCTTTCCCTCGACCCTAGCCCTTCA